CTGGGAGCCCTGGAGCAGAGCCATGAGGCTACTCTGGGTCCCAGGTTGAAGCAGTCAACCCTTACTCTTAGGACTCTCAGTGAACAGTCTGTCCGTGCACTCTCTCCAGGGATATGACATGTTTGTGTTAGAGGCACTCACCAGCTATTGCCTGTAGGAGGACTCACTGGTAGCAGAGTCCTACACTCTCCCTGCAGATCACAGCAATTGCTGCTCGAGTCTGTTCTCCTTTTCTCCATGAGGACTCCCTGGGTCCCCATCATTCATGCTGTCTCTATGTTTGGTCTCCTTTTTACCTCACCTGCAAGCCAAGACCCATAAGGCAAAAGTTAGGGAGAAAGTGCAGATGGTTTCTCCTCTGCATTGTGTTCTCCAGGTTGTGTTCCCTGGGATCTACTCCTTTTTTTTCTTCTTTGAGTTGTTTTCCAAATCTGTTGTCTGAATCTTGGAGAGGTTGAGTTGCTCACTCCTCCATTTTTATCCTCACTGTACTTTTTGGAAAATAATTATCAGAGGTCTCTCATTGTAGTTTCTATACTTGGCAACTTTCCTATTTTTATTTTTCACTTTTATCTTTATGGAAAAGGCTTGTTTCTTCAGATGTTAACATAGTCTGTCATTTTTATCTTAGTAAGAGCTATAACTTAGTTTTCTGTGAAAATCTTTAATTAAAAAGTATGATAATAAGTATTCAGGTATTGAGACATCAGAAAGGTTGAAAATAAAATCATGAACTTAGTTGAGAACAAGTGGAAGTCCTACTCCCAGTATCCTAAAATGAATAAATTGGTCTAACTTTTGAGCATAGAAAGTGGTACATAAAATAAATATGTTACCAATAAAGTAACATCTTTTCTACCCAATAATACCAGATTCAACATTCTGTGGGATAAAGTGATCATTTTTAGTATAGTGAAGTTACATGTAAATGTCACGCTTTATATATGCATTCATAAAATACTGAGGTTAGGGGTTCCCCCCTAGAAAACCTATTTTGAATATAATGTGAGTAGATGTGAGTTGAAATATTGAGTGCATAGGTGTTCTTTGGCAACAGAAACTAATCTTTATATTTTTAATATTAAGCACTAAATGTATAATTCATATCTAATAAGGAGTACATATATACCTTAGAGATAACTGTGGATTTGTCATCTCTCGGGAGCCCACTGAGAGTAAAGTCATTTGTTTATTTGCCAGCAGCATGTTATGGTAAATGTCAGTCTCTCAAGCTTCATCATTGTCCCCTCAGCTTAATTTCTCCTGGGAAGCTTTCTTTGATGGATTATTCTAAAGCTTTCCCTTGTCTTTCTCAGTCACCTTACCTTATTTACCATAACAATAGAAATTACTTGCTATTTTTCTTGTTAATTTGTTTAACTTTTGTTTCCATCTGCTAACATTGCCTCTTTCTGTTCCCCAAAACTCTCCAAAAGCGAGTTCCAAGAGAGGAAGGACTTTGTTCTGTACCCCTCGTACAATGCTGTACCCCTAGAGCCTAGGATAGACTTTTACAAAAGTGTAGGAGTCACTCAGTAAATAGTTAATGATAGAAGCATGAATGAAAAATGCAGGCCAGGGATTTAGCTCAGTGGTTCTGCCACCTGCCTCGCAAGCGCAGGGATAGGAGTTCAATCTCTGGTACCAAAAAAAAAAAATAGTATGAATGAAAAATGCAACCTTCTGGACATTGGAAGAATATATGTGTTAATGTTTTTTAAATGAGAGATTCAAAGTGATACCAAACATTTGTTTGTTTTTGCATTGCTAAGGGTCAAACCAAGGGCTTTGCATATGCTAGGTATGTGTTTGTCTTAGTCACTTTCTTGTTGCTGAGACAAAATACTTGACATCCAAAGGTTAAAGGAGGAAAGGTTTATTTTAGCTCACAGTTTGTAGAGGTTTCAGTCATAGTTGTCTGTTTCTAAGGCAGAGTGACATGGCAGAGAAGCAGTTCATGGTATAGCCGGCAGGAGACAGTGAGCCTTCCTTCTTTCCCTTTTTATTCCATTCAGGCTGTAAGTCTGTTGTAGGCTGATGCCACCTACATCCACGGTAGGTCTTCTCATTAAGTAAATCCATCATCCACACCCAGAACTATATTAAGCCAATAAGTGGACTAATCTAGTATCACATACCCATGATCCAGTTGCTTGAAAAAGCCCCACCTGTGAGCTCATGAGACTTTGAGGGCCATCTAGATAAAAACCGTAACAGTGTTCTGTTCTTGAACTACATTCCCAGCCCTGTTCACACATTTTGATTGGGTTTTAAAAGGAAGAAAAGATGTTTTAGAATTGTCAGCCTTGGTTCCCTTCTAGAGAAGTAGGATTTGTAGCTATGAGTGAAGTATCCTGGCAGTTCTTCATGAGAGAATTGAGTTAAAAATATTAAAGAATGCCTTCCTGTGCCACGTGTAGTAGTGCATGTCTGTAATCCCAGCACCCAGGAGGCTGAACTAGCTGTGAATTCGAGGGCACCCTGAGCTACATAGTGAGACCCTGTCTCAAAAAAAAGCCTTCCTGCAACTGACAGTGTGCATAATACCCAAGGATTTGTAAATCCCAGTAATAGTAAGTGCTGTGATTCTAGGAAGTTTGGAGATAATATTATTCTAGGAAAATGCACTCTTTTTGGTAACTCTAATTTGATTACTCAGAAACAACCTAAGATATCCTGATGACTTGTCATGTAACTTGATTGCCTGCAATATGATTTTTCTAAGAGATTTTGTTTATATCTTTATACAGGCTGTATAGTGCTATATACCTATTACTTAATATAGCTCATTAAATTTCACATGATGTGTTTAGACATTGGAGTTTTATTTTAGAATGGAATGCCTCATCATTTATTATTTTATGACTTATACCTCAAGAATATGAAAGAGGAGCTAATGAAATTTAACAACAGTAAATTAAATATTCTGAAATATATATAAATTTCTAATTGAAAAGCTACTGAAAATCAAATGATACTAAAGGTATTAATCATGTGGCACTCATGCCTCTAAAATGAACTCTGAGAAACTGTTGACTTTGGCTGAACTTATGAAGAAAATTCTCACTTTCATTATGTATTGTTCTTGTTTTCTAAATTACCTCCATTATGCAATCTTCCATGCAAGCAGAGGCAGCAGAAGTGAACTAGAGTTACCAATTTCCAAATAACCTTGATAAACAGATAAGAAGGTCTGCAAACATGCATGAGTCTCTGTATTCTTGGAATTATTTTTCAAAAAGAAAATGATGTCATAAAACTCCTCATTTTGATCAGAGAATATCCTTAAGAGTTGGTTCTCTTTCATGTATGTTAAATACTAGACCAGTACTCAATTTTCATTTCTTTTTGTTAATTTATATAAATATAAATCATATGTTTATTTGACATTGCAAATGGCACTGAAGGGCCAGAGATTTAGCTCAGTGGCACCGTGTCTGCCTTGCAAGCACAAGGTCCCAAGTTCAATCCCTGGTCCCCCCCAAAAAAAGAAATGGCACTGAAGCTTATACGCCTAAAAGATCAGGGCTTCTCCATATATAATCCTTGAAGTAAGAAATTACTTTTAACACAGAAATGTACAAGTATCTTAATTCTTTTTTTGTTGCTTTAGTCCTTTTGTTTTTGATAAAATGCAAATGCAGAGCAGCTTGATTGGACTGCAGATAACATCCATACCTCAAAGAGTACATGACACACATTAATTTGATCTGGCCTCCTCAGATACAAAGGACCACTGGATATTTCCCAAACTAGCTATTTTCCTTCTTGAATTAGTTTTTAAATTAAGAGGATCTACTTTGTTAGTGAAAATAATAAAGATGTTTAAATCTCTTAAAGTGTTTAAATATATGGCTGAAGTTTTTATTTCATTCTTTGAAATAGATCTGCTAATTTCACTTTTATATTTCCCCAAACCTTTTACTTAGATAATTGTATTTAAGTATATGCAGAAGCATGTTTATTTCCTCATCGTTCTTCCTACTATAAAACTTAATTATAGTGGATATGCCAAAATTTCTGAAAACAATTTTTACTGTACAGGAAGGTAGTTTTTTTAGTTTAAGTTTCCAACAAACATGTAAACTTAATTTCCATTATTTCTCCTGTCTTTTTGAGTTCATTGCCATATTCATTCATTCTCATTCATATTCTCTCTCTCTCTCTCTCTCTCTCTCTCTCTCTCTCTCTCAGCTGTATAGCACAGAAAAATGTTTTGTCACATCTTTACATGTAAAATTGCACACATTGGTGCCAGTTCTTTTGCCACATAAAGTATTTACTTGTTAATAAAATAGTGGTTCTCTACAGAGCTGCTTTAAGTATATTTGGAATGCTTTAATTACAAAAATAAATTTATAATCAAATTTTGAGGTCATATAAGTTGTAAATGGAGATGTATCTGTAATCACCAACTTAAAATCCTTTCTAAACATAAATCCTCAATATTTCCAGTATGACATCACTTAAACTTTTTCCTCCACATATTATTTCATATAGTCTTTGCAAGAACCCTAGAAGAGAAAAGGAGTAAATATTATTTCTCTTTATTTTCTTGGGGAAAATGTTAAATGACTTGTAAAGATTTGCATTGTAAATAAATATGAAATTCCTCATCTATGACAAAGTTGGGTTAACAATTGAAAAAAAAAATTTAACATGACACAGGATCCTTGAGAAATGAAGACCCAAAGACCCAGAGAAAACTGTTTAGGTTCCATAAGGAATGGACAGCTATGTAGAAATATGAATGGACAAAGGGATCTGACCTAATGATAACAGAGGGGATCCCAGCAAGGCCTGTGTGTTCAAATTATCCTTGGCCTCTGTTGGAACATTCCTTCCTCCTGGTTACGAGGCAGGACCTCTGTGGTATAAGGCTACTCAAAGAAGAGGGGAGAGAGACTTTCCTAGGTTTTGAAACTTGCTTTGGGGAAGAGGGCTTCTAGTTTATATGATGTGTCTTAAGGAATTCTGATTTCTATGAATCACTTCTGCAGGGAACTGAACCTATGACCTCCTGCATGCTAGGCAGGCAATCATTCTCCCAGGACCTTCATCCTGAGCCCTTACACATCACTTTTGCATGAAAAAGGTGAGAAGTCAGAGAATCCTTCTGAGGCCTTCAGGTCTCCTCTGATTCAATGGACTAAGCATATAAAAGTGCCATACTTTATGTTAATGAACCCCAATATTAATATTTTCCTTATTTCTTAATAGTAATCTGCAATGTACATGCAAAAATATGTGGATACTCATTTTACAGATTACCATAAGAATTAAGTTGTTTTCTAACAGCTATAGATTCACTGCCAAAAATAGCTTTAAGTGAAATGTTGATTTATAAGGCTTTAGTAATTTGGGTTCTATTTAACTCCTGTGAAGTGTTCTAATACATGTCAATATTTTGTTACATTTTTCCTCACTGTTTGCTATTGTAGTTTTGTTTTTGCCATCATATCCAGCAACTTTGTTGCATCAAGAATGATGTGGCAGAAGAAGTTTTTGAAGAAAAAAAGAAAGAAGTATTTGAAGGCTCTGGAACAATTATTTAAGAATATGTCCTTTTAAAAAAAAAAAAAAAGAATATGTCCTTTTAAGCTGGAGATACAAATCTTAAATTCCTTAAATTACTCTAATGCATAAATTTTGTATGCTTAGTAGATTTGTAAGCCAGAAAAGATTTTGCTACATCAGACATCATTTCTGGGCAGCAGTCAGATATATCAAAAATGCTATTGTTTATTACATTTTCACATCTTTCATAAAATGATTTGGATCTTACGTAGCAATGAAGGATATGAAACAAGGGAAGAACTGTTTTCACCCACCAATACATATGTGTAGAAGAGTAGCTACATCCACTAGGTACAGAAAGGTGTGTGTGTGTGTGTGTGTGTGTGTGTGTGTGTGTGCGCGCTTGCATGTGCGCTTCAACATATCATCTAGTGGTAAATACTGGGGGCCTTGGGCCCTGTTAATCAGTCCCTGTTAAAACGTTTCTAATAGTAAAACATAATCTTGTAGTTAGTTACATTTGACATGTTGACATCAGGGTGTGGGAATATGGTTAATTATTCTTATCTCCACCAAAGGGTATATAGATACTGGGAAAGACTTTCATCAGTGTCTGTCCCTTAGCTGCTTTAATAAGTAGAAATGATCAAAGTTACTTGTAAAAATAAGAACTAGGAATGACCCCAGACAATCAGTATCATTTAGTAGTGCTTTTTGTAACTTGCAGTATAGATAAGAAATACTTGACTAAATATGATTAACATTCTCAAATGTAATGTTAGATTTTAAAAATATTAAGTGTCAGTATAACAGGCCTTGGGTTCTTTTTGGCATAATATTGCCCATTAAACATCATCCACATGTTCATCACTTGAGTGAATTGTTTACTGACCATTCTACTTGAAACACATTTTAAATACCCCACTGAGTTCTTAAACTTCCTCATTAATACATTCTTCATTGAAATGCACTGCCATAAAATTGAGTCTTTAACTTTTTTCCCATTTTTTATCCATTTCATATCTTCACCTTTTGTTTTCCTTGACTAAGTTCTGATTTCTCAGATTTCAGTTCTTGATTATTTTTTTACCTTTGCAGTCACCAGTTCTCATGATAGTAAATTCTACTTTGATATTTACCTTCCCTTTATCCAAAATTGTTTATACAACCTCACAATCACCAGTTTTGTTAACACACATTTGTGGCAGAATTGCATAATGAAAATGAAAAGAACTGGCATAGAATTAGAGGTACTAGATTCTTTACAATATTTCCACCACCAGTGTGTTAGAGTTCTCCAGAGGAACAAAACTAATGGGGGAGAGACAGGAGAGAGACACAGAGAGAGAGAGAGAGAGAGAGGGATTGACCTGTGCAGTCAGGCTGAATAGCCCACAATGACACAGGCTAGAGAGCTGGAAAAATCAGTAGCTCTCAGTCCAAGAAGCTAGAAGCATGAAAACAAAGGACAAGTGATGCAGGCCCAGTGCAAAGCTAAAGGTCTGGAAGCCCTCTGGAGAGTTGCTGGTACAATACTATGTTCAAAGGCTGAAAGATCTGGAGTCTTACAAGCATAGGCAATGGCAAAAAGTGCACGTACTCAAGAATTTTGTGTGGGTGTGTGTGTGAGAGAGAGAAAGAGAGACAGAGATTTGTCTGTTCTGCTTTTTGTTGTACTCGGGCTCCCAGCTTAATGGATGGTGTCACCTACCTTCAGGGTACGTCAGTTTCTTAACCCACATGCCAATCATCTCTTGAAACACCCTCACAGACACAGGGCCGTGTGGTTTACTGATTTTCTCGGAATATCTCAATCCAATCAAGTCAGTAACTAAAATTAACTACCACAACCAATTCTGAAAGTCCCAATTTTCTCATCTCCAGGATCAGGAGATTAGAACACAGTCCTTCTGATATGGTAATTATGGAAAACAGTATGGGAGCATTTCAAAAAAACTGCCATGTGATCCAGCAACTTCATTATTGGATTATGTAGTAAATTAAATCACTTGTCATAACCTTCACTCCCATGTTTATTGCAGCATTATTTACAGTACACGAGGTATTGGAACAATCTAAGGATCCTACAACAGATGAAATGGATAAGGAAAATATGATATTTGCATACAATGGAATATTGTTCAGCCTTTACAAGGAAGGAAATCCTGTCCTTTGTGATACCATGGATAAACCTGAATGACATTCTGGTAAAGGAATTAAGCTAGACATAGAAAGATAAATACCATATGGTCTCACTTCTATTCAGAAAGAAAATACAGAATATTATTATATTCAGTAACAGTAGAATAGTGATTGCCAGAGTTTGGGGGATAGGAGAAAAGAGATACTGATTAAAGGGTGAAACCTTTAAGTTATAAAATAAATAAGCTCTGGAGAGCTAATGTACAATGTAATTTGACTATTTTATACTTGAAATTTGCTAAGAACATAGATCTCAAGTGTTTTCATCACAAAATATGTGTTAAGGTAACAGATATGTTAATTACCTTGATCGTGGTAATCATTTCACAATGTATATGTATATCAAAACATCACTTTGCATACCTTAAATATATACAATTTTTTTTTTGTCAATCATACCTCAGTAAAACCAGAAGGAAAAAAAATAATATGACCTTTCAGTTCTTAGTTCTGCTTCTGTTTCACAAAATTAAGCACTGGCTAACAACATGCCAGAAGATGTTATGATGGGTTTAAAAGTAGACAAGTGAGAAGCAATACATAAAGCCAGGGAAAAGACAACTTATCATTTCCTTTTAGGTTTTTCTAGTAAGAGAATTTGAGAATTATTACTGAATCAGTCTAGTAAAAATCTATAAAATAGCTTTATTTATTTATTCATTAACAAAGTCAATGAAAATTTTGCAAAACTAGTACAGTTTTCCTAAGCTTAATGCTTAATAGCTTTAAAACAGACTAACAGTATGTTAGGGTCTAACTACACAGTCCTACTCAACAAAAATAATAGCATAGAATACTTCAGTCGTTTTTAAAATGTCCAGTAGGATATTTAAAAATGTGGGTAACAATTCATAACAGAACAAAGTTTGAAAACATTTACCATAGGATTTCAGTTCAAATTTTTTAAAAAGCTTACCATTTGTACCCCAATTTTAACGTCTAATATTCTTCACAGAAAGTAACCAGGGTTCCTTGAAGAAATGGCTAATTCTATGATTGTTACAGGTAAACCTGGGTAAATCCAGGTTATCTTATGGAAAGAAAGAAAATTTCCAAGACAGAATTATGTCAAAAAGGCATAAAAGCTACATTGATACATTTCTCGCTGGCCTAATTTGGTATCATCTGAGCGTAAAAATTCAACTGCATCATTCTGGGTCTATGAAAATCTGGAAGTCCATGATAACTCTGAAGTCATTAAAAAGCTCTTTGTCACCATTGGAAGTGGCCATTAAACTAATGCTTCACAATGAGTAAGTAGAGTGAAGAGCATTTATCCTCCCCCGTTAAACCTGCATTTCTGAGTACCTGGTAGCCCTAGTTGATAAATCCAAATTGTACTTTATAGAAGAATGCCAATTAATGCATGTTGATGATGATAGAAATGTGTAATCACTATTCTGCAACCTCTGGTGAAAATTAGGCAATAGTTATCAGTTGGTGTAAAAATTATTAAATGCTCAATTGATAGGGAAATAAATTTTGTATATGATTTCCCCAATGAATGGGTATATCTATGTATATGTATATATATAATGATTCCATTCTTAACACAAGGTGAAAATCATAGCTAGACAATGGCAGAGGAGAACTGAAAATAAAATTACACAATGAAGAATATGGTTATAGTCATCCTATTTCATTGACCAAACTTAGCATTCATAATAGTGGAACAGCCAGGTATTATCCATATCCTAATACATAACCTGTGGTGCATACATATCACCTTTGCTACTCTGTACCGAAAGGTTAACTTGAATCTATGAAGCCTTTAGTTGAAATTTTCAGTTTATAGGAAATTCATAAAAGAATAAGTTGCCATAAAGAGGCAATCAGACAAATCCAGAGCGTGAAATGTTTTACAGGACAGGTCAGTGTCATGAAAAGAAAAAGCTTCTAGAATGAAGGAGCAGTAAGGTGTGGCCAGAGTAAGAAGACTTGGACTGGATCCTTTATGGACAGATGAGCTGTACATGACATTTGGAGGGCAACTTGTAACATATGGACAAGATATGTGGAAAACTGATTAATTTTTTGATATATGATAATATTTTGGCTATATATAAAATTTAAATTCATACTAGAATGTTCTTCAAAAAATGTTAATAGTCATTAACACAAAAATGTTAATCGTGATGGGGTATAGGGCTTTTGAGGCAGGCCTGGGTTTGACATGTGCCTTAATTTACCATCTGGTGACCTTTTAACTCTTTCTTACTGAATCTTACTATAGATACTGAGAATTATATGAAATAATGCATAATTTTAAAACTACTGCCTTTTCCCCATTACCATCCTGATGGGTGACCCATCTACAATTTTTTTTCTTAATTCTTATCCCTTATTAATCACTTACTGTTTTAAACTTCCACTTGATTTCATTATTTTCACTCAATTCTTTTTCTCTCCCTCCACCCCAGAACTCTGTGAATTATCTTTTGTTATCTGTATGCCATTGAGTATCCGTGTATCATGATTATTCATCTCTCTTAGGTCTTTTTAGCATTAAAAACTTCAAAAATCTCTGACACTTTGTCACATTCTAATTCTTAATTTAAGACAATATCATTTTTTACTGCTCTTCATAATCTCCTGTAGCCATTGATTGTCTAAAATGCTATCTGTTCTCTCCCCTTCTCTCCCATCTCCTGTTCTCTCCAAACTGAAGGGCATAAGAAATAATTTTGACCTTGAATGTTCCTACACTTCTGATGTCTTTATATTTCCCTTATCTTGCTCCTCAGTAGAGTCAAACATCACATTTCCCTGGAAAGTGATTTGCATAAATGCTTGAATTACCTCAGCTATTCACCCTTCAACCAATTCTCTCCCAAAATTGGACTCAAATTTCTGTCATCCTCAACTGTTAGATCCAGCCATGATAAGGTCTTTTTAAATGTCTTCTTTCTTAACTAAATCCCCAATTTTTCTTGTGATCCTTATTACAGATTTTCATTTGCTCACGATTGTGATGAATATCTAATCTCATATGCATTAATTGACATCTAGCTTACTTTCCCAGTAATTTCACATCATCTTCTCCCTCACCTTCATTTGTCAATAATGAATGATTTCTTCCCTCTCTCCCCCAACCAGGGATCAAACTCAGGACTTTGCGCTTACCAGGCAGGTACAATGTCACTGAGCTACATCCCAGCCCTGAATTATTTCTTATAGTTTCATTACACTTAGTTTCTAATTGCTTCAATTTCTGTTAAAAGTACAGAAGCATTTTCTGGAGCAAATTCACCCAAGAAAACATATTCTGGTAATGAACCAATGAATGTTGGAAGATAAAATGAAACATGATTTAGCAAAATAGTTAATTGCTTTGTATTATCCTGCTTATTTTTTTAGAGATCTGAATGTTTAGAACAATATATACTTAGAGTCACTAATATCTGACAAACAGCCTTTAAAGTCATAAGTCACCAGAGATGCCTCAACCCCTATTGCAACTATGTATTTCAATTCTGTGTAGCCTGGTGGAATAAACATTGCTCTGGAATCAGACTAATCTGTTAATTCCTAGTTTTGCCACTCATTCCTGTGTGGCTCTGGAAAAGGTACTCAGTACTCTGGAGTATTTACGTAATAAAAAAGAAGCTAATAATGCCTTCCAAGACTGAGAAAAATAAAAAGTTATTTAGAGATATTTATGTATTTCCAAGAGAGGCAGAAACAGAGACATAGACCATAGATATTTCTACCAGGAGTAGCAGTGATTTCCTTTTCTTCTTATTACTAGATTAAATTGACTCCAAATTACATTTTATGTCCTCTGGAAGTCAAAAACCCTTTCCAACATCCTTCCACATTCCCAGCAGATTTCATTTTCATGAGCATTCTTGCCTCTTTAATTCATTTGACTTATGAATGATTATCCCATTGCCCCTCATGTGCCTGCTTTTAATTTGAAGACCTTTTATTAACATTCAGCTTTAACACAAGGAGATTACAAAGGAAGGAGATAGAAGTATTACAGCAATGCAAACAACTACAGTAGAATACTGAGTTTTTCTCTTTTCAAAAGTCTTTTCAGCTGCCCATTCTTAGGGATTTTCCTTTGTTCACCTTGCTCCATGCCACGCTCCCAGGCATATACTGTTGTGTCTGAACTCCTTACTCCTATTTGGAGACTAGATGCTTCTTGAAACTCCACATTTTCTCTCTTAAATAAAGCTACTTATTTTTTTCTGTCTCTAATCAGAAATTTGGTCTTTGAGCCAAATCGTTAAAGGTCCTCAGCAGAAAAAGGTGGGGTGAGAGTTATTTATTAAGTAGAATTAGGTTTTTTTTAAATGTCATTTGACTAAAGTTTACAAGCCTAAGAATAAAAATTACCTCAACATAAACAGAAAAAATAAAATACACAAAGGATCAAAGTTACAAGTGTAGTGCGATGCTGATGTCCCCAAACAGCTGTAGTGGCTTGAAATAAAAAAGGACCTTGATAAATATAATTCAAGGTCTGCTCTTATCAGTAAATGGCCTTGATCTTGGGTATTGGATCCAGAGTTGATCTGGCTCTGTGTGTAACCTTGTGGCTTATGTTGACTTTGGAAATCCTTCAGCTCTTCAGTGACAAAATACTTGGCATTTCTAAGTTTCTAGTACACAAATACCTCACTTCTGATACATCTTTGTTCTAGTACATATAGTCATGAATTTACCTTTTTTTGTATAAGGCTGTTAAAGGAATCTGACTGCTGCCATCTTAGGCTGACCAGAGACCACTTTGGGCCTTTTCCATCCCACTTAATAAGGCCCAGAGACCATAACTCCTATCATTATTCAGCCCTTCTCTTAACAAGCAACCACCACTCCCTGTACTTTGTCAGGCCTTGTCCTTGGAAGGTAGCCACAACTCCTTTTCACTGCTCTTCCCTCTTGAAAGTCCCATTTTGACTTTTTCCTTTCACAACCCTCCTTTATGCTCATGGCCCTATAAATGATCTTATAGCCTGTACCAGAGTTACCAGTCTGGTCTAAGTGCCAGGGACGGCCCTCTCAGGTTTGTTCTGAAATAAACCTGTCCTGTTGAGCTTGTGCCTTTGTTTTGCTCCTCCTCCACTTTTTTTTTCCTAACAGCTATCATTATATAAGCTTTGAAAAGCATGCCATTTCAAAGGGAATAAATAAAGGGGAAAATATACTCAACGCATCTCTAAAAACCCAACCTTGGGCCTTCATGCTTTATTTGAGATTTCTTTTCCAAGCACTTACAGAACCTAATGTGTGGCCAGCAAAATATGAATCCAAGATGAAACAGACTGGAATGTGGAAAAAGGTTTTACTATGTTTTCTTCAACTTTAGAATGTCTAAAATCAGTTGGGCAGTCAAGAAACGCAGCATGTACCATGTCCTTAGATACTTGAATCAATCACCTAGTTAAATTCCACTCAATTAACATTCTAGATTGAGCTCACCAGATTACATGTTTGAAGTTGCGTATTTTTTTTAATGTTCATATCTCATGTGTGCCTCTATAAAAACAGTTCAGTATATTGAAACAGATAGATTAGGGTAAACATGACTATAACTTGATTCCTAGCCTTTTCTCCATGACTTCTTATCAATAAGACCTTAGATAAGCAACTTTACCTTTGTAAAATCTTACACAGCATAGAAAATGTCAATGTGTCTATCATTGATTGATTTAATTTCTTTACTTACTGCTTTCTGCAAAATAGAGTATCATCCCTTTTAGTTGTTTTAAAAGTGATTGACATCTTAAGGGATCAAGCCCTTTTTAAATAATTTGGATATTAAAAAGCCACCCTATATAATTATAGTGAATGATTTCAATACCTCACTCTCACTAATAGATAGATCATCAGACCCCACAAAAAATTACCAAAGAAACATCACAGTTTTAACTACAGCACTATATAGATCCAATGGATCTTTGAAAAGATAAATAATATTGACAAACCCAAATCAAACTAATTGAAAAGAGAGAAGACCCAAATTTTTAAAACCTAGAGATGACAAAGAATTTTTAGAAACTATTTTGAAAATATGTATTCAAATAATTTATAGAACTTGTAAGAAATAGTTAAGTTTATACATGCACATCACCTACCAAATTTGAACCAAGAGAATATTAAAAAATCTAAACAGATTAATAATACATAATAAAATTTACACAGTAATAAAAGCCTCTTAACAAAGAAAAGCTCAAGACCAAATGAATTTACTGATGAATTTTACCAGACCTTTAAAGAATATATAATACAAATGCTCTTTAAACTCTTCCATGAAATGCAAAGGGAAGACATAATCATGTCTTCCAAATTCATTTTGCAAAGCCGGTATCACTGATTCCAGAACAAAGACTCATTGAAAACAGAAAACTACAGACAAATATCTTTGATAAACATTAAGTCCAAAAGTCCTCAATACCTCCAAGTAGGATTCAGCAACACATGAAAAGTTCATGTACCATGACCAAGTTGATTTCATCCCAAGGAGTCAAGGATGGTTCAACATATGTAAGTCAATAAATATAATACACTACATAGTTTCAAGGATGAAATTACATGATCTTATCAAAAAATGGAGAAAAAGCATCTGACAAAATACAATGTTTCCTGATAAAAACTTGAAGAAACTAAATGTAGAAGGATCTTTCCACAATTTAATGAAAACTATATGTGACAAACCCATAGCCAATATCATACTGTATGTCAGAAAAAAAATGAAAGCATTTTTTGGTAAACTTAGGAACAACCCAAGGTTATCCATTCTTAACACTCCTGTTCAATATAGTACTTCAAGTTTTAGCCAGAGCAATTAGGCAAGAAAAAGACAATAAAAAGATACAAATAGGAAAGAAGGGTCCAAATGTCCCTATTTGCACATAGAGGACCCTGAAAACAAATACCAGAACACTTGGATCTGGAAAAAAATTCACCCAATTGGCAGAATAAGAAAAAAATGCAAAAATCAATAGTTTTCCTATACACCAATAATGAACCCACTGAAAAACAAACCAGGAAAATAATTTCATTCACAATCGCTTTCAAAAATACCTACAATGTACGAATAAAAGAATTTAATTAAAAAAAAATACCTAGGAGCTGGGCTTGGTGAATGCATGCCTATGATCCCAGCACTCTTGAGGCTGAAGCAGGATGTTATAGTTTATATCTAAATGCCCCCCAAAGCTTCATGTGTTCATGGGTGGGGCTTTTGGGAGGTGGTTGGACCAGGACTGTGTGATACTCATCAGTGGATTACTCCATTGATGAGTTTAAATTTAAATGTGATATTGGGAGGAGGTGGGTCACTTAGGGCATGGCCTGGAAGGGTGTATCTCCCTTCTCCCTTCTCTCTCTGCTTACCCCTGCCACATCATGAGTGATGTCTTTTCTGCCATGCCCCTCTGCTATGCCACCTTGTGTTGGAGCCAACTGACTATGGGCTGAAGCCTCTGCAAACTGTAAGCCAAAATAAACCTCTCCTCCTTTAACTTGTGGGTGTCAGGTATTTTGACTCAAAAATGAGAAAGTAAGACACAAGAAGATCATCCACATCCAAGGGCAGCCTGCATTACATAGTGAATTCAAGATCAGCCTAAACTACAAAGCAAGACCATGTCCCAAAATAAATAATTAAATAAATAAAGCAAAAATTAAAATATACTGGGAAGAAACCTAACCAAGAAAGTAACAAAAACAAACAAAAAAACTCTACAATGAAAAATATAGAATACTGAAGACATTGGAGAAGACATTAGAGGAGAGAAATACCTCCTATGTTCAAGAATTGGCAGAATTAATATTAAAATAGACATATTAAGAGATCTATAGATTCAATGCAATCCCCATCAAAATACCACTCACATTCTTCACAGAACTAGAACAGTCCTAAAGTTCATATGAAAGTGCAAAAGAGCCAGAATAGCTAAAGCAATACTTAAAAAAATACTTAGAATAAGCAATATTAAAGTATCAATCCAGGAATTAAACCAAAAACAGCACCAACAACAAAAATACAAATGAAGAGACACCTAAGCAAGGTGCAAATCCAGTCTTCCAGCTCACCAGAGGCAAATTCCAGGGGAAACAAGGTGGAAAAATCTGATAACCACCTGGACACCCTGAACTGATAGCACAGGAAATGACAAAAATAGATGAATGAGGCTCTAGAAAAATTTGAAACAAATAATTTCCCAGATAACTACAGTGATGGTGAGCAGAATGAAAGACGTGATTAAAGACTCTAGAAGAGAAACAGATTTAAAAAAATAGATGAGCTCAGGACCATGATGGAAGCCATGAATGCCCAGCATAGGAAAGAAATGGAAACCATGAATGTCCAACATAGGAAAGAAATGGAATCCATAAAACAGACTTAAACAGATATCCAGGAGATTAAAAACTCCACTGAAAGTATTCACAGCAGATTGAGCAAATGTGAAGATAGAATATCAGACATAGAAGATAGGATTGTGGTTAGTGACCATGAAAAGAGAGATTTCTTAAAAATAGTAAGGGACCATG